ATGATAGATATAGTGCTTTTATAAAAATATTAATCTATGTATATTTGCCCGTGCATGATGTTGATTGCTATACATTATAAATAGATTGTATGAAAATTTTGATTGAATATGTGAAAATATTATATGAGATTAGAATATTGTTGTACCAAGTATGAGATCTAGTGACGATAATAATAGATAATATTTAATTTCTATAAATTGTCATCGATGTTCCACTATGTAACAAAATCCCAGTAATAATCAAACATAGTTTTACAAGAACTCTTAGAAATTTCTCAATAGAATAGTTAATTTTAATTAATTAATTAGTATAAATTCTTCAAATAAGTTTTCCTATTTGATTAAAGTTATCATTTATTTATACTAGAAAGTATGTAATCCTCGTGAGAATTATACTCTATTCATTACTTTTCACTTGTTCACAATACCATACACTTGTAAAATTTCAAACGATCAAGTATTTGACGTTATTGTCAAGTACTATAGGATTTAATTAGTTTTAGTTTGTTTTAGCGTTAATCTAAATTTTTATTAATTTATTAGTTTTTAGTTTTATATTAGATAAAAATTACACTATTTTTCTATTTTGCTTCAAGATCTTGCATGCAAATTTAAAAAAAAAAAGGCGATTTTGCTCCGTCCGATTAGAAAATCAAATGAATATTTAGGTTGAAAAGAAAAAGAACATTTAGAAGCATACAAAAAATAGCAGGCAAAATCAATGACAGAAAATATACAAAATCAAATGGTCAATGGGGTGAATGAAGATGTAGCACATCCATATGTAGCTACGTGTAATGAGATTGAGAGACCGATGGAAGAATACATGGGTCTACCAGTGGTAGAATGCAGATCCGACATAGTTTATTCAACATTCAGGGAAGCTAACTTTCATTTGAGGACGGATGTAATAACATGTTTTAGATTGCATTGCAATTCTTTAGAAGAGACTGACAATTTGACTGTTCAGATCTTGAGATTTTTGGATATGTGTGTGACAATTGATTATCTAGGGGTTTTCAGTTATACAATTCGGTTGAAGCCCTTTCCATACGCTTTAAAAATTCAGCTAGGGAATCGTTGGACACATTATCATCTTATAGCATCACCACTTGGGACTGCTTGAACTCAGAAATTCTTGAACAAATACTTCTTACTAAAAAGGATTGCCAAGTGTGGGATGAATCACTATATTCTCTTAACTTGATTCGTAGTGCTATTACGAGGCATAAGAAGATACAAAGGTTTGCTTCGACAATGTCCACAATGTGGTTTGTCAAAGTGGCTACAACTCTAGTACTTCTATATTGGATTGAATCCAACTAGCAGAACTAACTTTGATTCAGCGTGTGATAGATCCATTACAAAAAGGACTGCAAATCTAGATTATTTATTTATTTATTATTTTTTTTAAAGGTTAAAATGTTGTTCTTGGATATCATGTGAATATAATAACATTTATGCTTTAAGGTTAATTTAAATAGCATGAATCGAGATAGATATAAACCTATATATAAAGTATGTTACAAGTCCTTAGTGGCTAAAATGCCAAATTTCTGTTTTTGATTTTCAAATGATCGTGGGGCGGGTGCATAGGTTTTGAATCAGGGGGCACAATCAAACTCTATACAAATCGAATACTTTATTCTTGATTTTTAAATGATCCATATTTGACCCAAAAAATGCAGATTTACATTTAAAAAACATTTCTTCATTGATATTTTGCTCATCATTTTCATCTATTATATTTGACCAGTTATTTTATTAATATTTTGTTCATCACAAGAAAATGCATATTTATGTATTAAAAAATTGTGTATTTGATACAAACAATCAATTCAAGTAACTAAAAGAAAAACATATAACCAATATTAAATACAAATAATCAGTCAAATAAACATAATTCGTTAAATATAAGTTAAATTTTATATAACCAGTTTAGACACATGCTATATACGCAAATAGGATAGGAGAAAATGCAAATTTAGGTTCTAATTAGTTTAAAATTTGATTGAAAAGTAAATTTTTGTAGTAGATGTGATAATTGTAGAGAAATTATAAACTAATTTTAAAAAAATAGAAAAACTAAGGTTTTGGTAAAATGCTTGAGGGAGAGAGTAAGATAGAGCAAGAAAAAAGAGAGAAAATTCAAATTTGTTGTGATTTTGCCCCTATTTGGTGGGGATTAAAATCAGATTTTTAGTAAATTTTGATAAAAGTTAAGGAATCTATGAAATACGTTATTAAAATTAATTGTTAACTTTGATTTATATTAAAATTTAGATTTCAACCGATGACAAACAGGACTTTATCCAAAAAACAAAAGGGAAAAAAAATCTCTAAAGTTGGGGAGGGGGAGTCAAGTCACCCCCAGGACCCCTGGGTCTGCCCATGATGATCGCTATGTGATATATTCTTAATGTTTTTTCACATGATTAGTGGGGATTGATAGCCCTATATGTCTTTTGACCAAATCACCTGGAATCATCATGTCAATTGGAGGCACGTAGAAATGGTTACAAAATTTTTAATACGTTGTACCATGTTTATCCGGGATGAAATTTTTACATGCGATGTGTTAATAAGTTAAGTGTCTAAATGATGAAATTATAAAATTTTAATATGTTAAGCATCAATTTGTCTTTGAAGGAAAATGATTTTTGGAATAGTGAGTTTTTGGAGAATGTGATTAAAAAGTATGAAAAATTTTAAGTTTACGTGCAAAATATTTTATTGCATGAATGTGTGGTAGAAAATGAGTTTGAGAAAAAAGAATTTTGAAAAAAGGGAAGACAAACAAGGCTAACTTATATAAGTTTCTGATCTTCAACGAAAATTTCCCACAAATCAGAGTTCCTTTGATCTATCAAATAAATATCTACTTAATGCAGCACACTAGAAGGTAAAAATAGGAAATGAATTTATATCAAATTTGCAATCCAAATATTATGATTGGGGCCGTTACCTTGAGTTATTGATTCAACCAGGCGATTATCTGATTAATGTTTTCCACCAGATGACAACAGTTGATTTTGCCACCAACTGGTGCGTGCTATGGCTTCTGTGTGGGCTAGTAAGAAAGGAGTATTTCTACATTGTTTTCTCTACTTAATAGGGACAATGCAATTATTATATATTAAGGACTGTTGATAATGGGCTACTGGTAGCAGGATTGTCAAAGCAACTTGGGGGAGGATTTATGCTGGAGGGTTGAGATACTAGTGTTGAGGAATTGGCTCTCCTTTGGTTAGAACAGTGTGTTCAGATTTATGTTTCTGAATGTGATGCTGCTCCTGTGGTGAATGAGCTAAAATTCTATCTTATCTTTCATGAATTTTTCCAATCTTAATAGATCCCGTAATTTCTTTCACTTTGGTAGAAAAGGAAGAAGGGGCCTAGCTTGTTTTGGCTCTTTTCCTTCCCCCGATGTGGGTTGCTTTCACCAATAAATATTGGTTATATTTCTTTATGTTATTTGTACCAATATAATAGTTCTTTTGAGGTTGGTTGTGACACTTGTTATTTCACACCTCGGGAGAGAAATGAGTAGCCTCCACACTAGCCTCGTTAGCTACCACTTCGTGGCATGATGCGAATAAGTGGACTAATTGTAGACAACTTTTTGCTTTTCCTATTGTTCGAGGTGATCTATTTTAATGAGGTTTTCATTTTACTTGAAAAAATATTGCGGATCTCGAAGCATATAGGATTGCAAAATAGTCCCCCCCACCCTCGATAGGCTTTAAGAAAAACAACTTCAATTTTAAATACAAGCACAACTATTTTTCAACTATATATTATCTTCATACATTTTATCATCTTGACAATGGTTGCTTCCATTAATATAAACTTTAGTACCAACAACCATGTAGGCAAAAAAGTAGAAATGAAAATAATAACACCAAAAGATATAATGTGGTCTCAGAAGTGTGCCTGCTTCCAAACAAGGGAAGAGAATTATTGATATAATTACTCTATAAGTCTGTATAGTAGCACAATATTAACAAAGTCAGAATTATTATACTCAACAAGTCAATATAACTCACACAAAATTAAAAAAATCACATCTCAAAGCATGGAGAACTTCAAATATCATCTTTTACCTTTCTACATTCTTTCAGAAAATCAATATCAAATGATTGTCATTTCAGCTCTCAATTCAAAATTATAAAAATTACTTTTTCCACAATTTGATAAGCCAAAATTTTCTTAGCACTACAAGAGACGGTTACTGTTTTAGACCTGAACAAATAATTCAATTTATTGAAGCACTCAGAAGAAAGTTTCAACCTACACTTAGAGTCTGCTGGGGCCATTGGAAATAATAATAGCTCAACCCACAAAGCAATAATTCGAAAATGTGTTCCCACTAAACACTTCTGATTTCCCTTTTTCGAGAACTTCTCTCTAGGAAAAAGAAAATTGCAATAAATCAGAAACACGTCTCTATCACCACGTAGAAACAAAGTGAAAAAATAATAACGTAAGATATAGCGTTAGCTACATATTTATTAGAGAAAAATAATATCATACGATATAGCGTTAGGAAGATATTTACCAGAGAGGATGAAGCTTCATTACTAAAATTCTTCGATTATATAGTTACAATAAAGTGACTACAAGAAGCAAAAATCCAATATGAACAAACTATTGAGCATCTTGAATGGAATTTGGGATAAAACCAGTGCTCTTTACCTTTTGTAACACACTTCTTAAAAGAAAACAAATGTTGAAGGCAAGATGTAGATATGCTTATTGTAGGTAACTTCAAGCTCAGAACATGCCCTACCAAGTTTACCCCTTTGATGATTGATGCAACAGATGATAATTGAAAAAATTAATTCTCCATATTAATCACATTAAACAGTCTCTCACGCAATGCTGATAGATCGATGCACATTAGCACGGTGGCTTTGGCCTGCAAAAAAAGGACTATTTAGATATTAACCATCTCATCTAAAGACATTATAGAGAAAATAATTTTATGAGTTGAAATTGGTGTCAACGTGCCTCCTCTTATATAGGTCAAATTCTGTTTTTCAAAGGCTAATATGTGCACAATTTATCATAAAAAGTGGCCATGTGACATTTGCCTCCTCGAATATGGAGTTAAACCAAGCTTAAACTGTTAGAGAGTAGACGGCAATTTTTAATTTAATTTTTCTTAAAAAATTTGGGAATTTGTAAAGATATATAGAACAGGTGAAATCATATATATGTTTACCTCAAACTGAATTCTGTGGAGGAACCTTTGATCATTTGTTTTTGTAGAAACACAGCTTACAACATTGAGATTTGTCCTAATCAATTCCCCAAGAACTCTTGACAGAGGAAACCCTCCCTCTATTGAGCTAGTTCTTATCAAAACCTCGACACCATCTTGGCAAGGACTCACTGTCACACTATTAGGCATTAAATTACTGTTTGAGCCTGAAGTATACAATTTTTTTAGCTTGTCTCTACACAAGCTCAGTTCTTGAATATTCTTCCGCATGTCTTTTATGTAATTCAAAGCTTCGTTCATGTGATCACATACAGCACGCTTCCCCTACAACACCACGGACATGAACTAAATTTATAGCAAATTAGAATATGCAATGTTTGGTAGAGATGATTGGTAGCAATCAACTGTAATGAATAAAAAGAAAGGCTAAAATCTTGTTAATTAGTTCACCTTGATATATTCAAGAGGAAGAAGGGATCGAAGCGAAGCATAAAGCTTTGCCATTTGTTTCCTTCTTTGCCTCTCAAATTCTCTATGCGGAATTTTCTTGCCCTTGTTTTCAGCACTAACCCCTTCCTCGTTTTCTTCATCATCTGAAGATGGTTTTATTTGCCGCTTTTTTGTATCTTTAGGATTAGCATGACTACGGTTTCTGGTCAGCACTGAAGAATCTTGATGATCTGCAATCAGATATTCTTCTAGGTTTACTATATCTTCTTGGAATATTGAAGGGTCCTCAAAGATCGGATCGTCTTGTGATTGTGAAGGAAACATATCAATTAACAATTTTTCAAGAATATTTCAAAGGTTTTCTTGAAAATGCATCCCTATGTAATAAAAATACTTATAGAGGATGACCAGTCTAATTATACCAATAGCAATCATCACATGACTTATTAGGGTGTACAGTAGTATTTACATTTATTTATAGGAATCGTTAAACCTAATTATATTATTTAATGACGGATGATTGATATATTAAATGACATCTTGTGGGAATCAGAATCATTTCACTATTCTGTAATTTGTCTATGAATAATGCTATTACTGCTATCAGAGCATTAGTTTAAATGGTATTATGTGACCAACTCAATTAAATGTAAAATTATATGATTAATTTAATTGTGCATCTCATTTAATGTCATTTAGCGCCACTCAATGCTTTCAAAATTGACCTAGGCTTCGACCCAAAAAAGGTCAAGGGATAAGAGTCAAAAGATTTAATCGAGATCGAACTAGATGCAATAATTAAATGCACATACAAATAATAAAATTCTATGTCTATATTGACACCATAATTTTTATTTATTACGTCACATTTCAATTACAGTTAAACTCATCAATTTTTACTCATTATAGTAATTATTTTCTTAATTTTTTCCCTTCAAGTTCTTATATTCAACCTCCCATTGATTAGTATATCTCGTTTTTGATGATGATTTATATCAAAAATAATTTGTTTTCATGCTTTGAAATGAGGGAAAATTATTTTTTCGAACAATTTATTTATATATTAAAACGATGGGAAAATAAGTTATTTTACTCAATTTTAACGGATTTTTGGACATACAACTGTTATCAAATACAAATTGTGTTAACTAATGGAAAGTTTGAGAATAAAAATGATATGAAAAACTGTCATGGACATTTGTGCTAAAATTTGTCAAGATTAAGAATCTTAAAGAAATAAAAATTGTGGTGTTAATATAATTACCTTTTATTTATTGGACTTTTATTTTAATGCATAAGTCCAATGATAAAGTTCAATCTTTTAAATTAAAATAGCTGAAAAAATAGGAAAATCGTTTTCGGTTATTAACATATAATTTGCCTAGCTTTGGGTCGGATTCCTTGTTCCACCAGTTGAACCGGGCGGGGTGGGAAGAATTTTAATGATATCGGTGTAACTAGAATAGTGTTTTAATACTTGTTATGTTATGGCATTAATCTTTATCTGGTATGAGAAGATGAGCAAACCGAGATGAGATAACATATGTTTGCCGACATAGGATTTCAAAATCAAACAGAGGGTGGTACCCATAATTGATAGTTGAAGTTTTCCCAGAGGCATGGTTCGAAAGTTGAGATTTGAAAGATTAAAATAGAGAATAAATATTTACCATTTTCAACTTTTACAACAAAGGTGACAGCTACATTTGCTTTTCTTCATAGATAAAGTAAACGCACATGATTTTTATGCAGACCGCTACCAAAATTGCCACTTCGATAGATTGTGATTATCTTTTTATTATGGTAAAGAAACATTAAAAAAAAATGTGATTTTGATAACTTCGAATAGCTAATTAACTATTTACTAACAAATATTTTTTCGAACAACACTATCTAAGTTAGAAAATAAACTACGGAAAAGATATTAAAATTGTGATTTTATGCTGGCACAAGCAAAATATTAATTAAACAAAGTTTGATGTTTATTGTGACAGAATTGCGATAGAATTCCCTTTACAAATAGTACTTGCCACGAAACTTTCACAATGCTTTCCGCTGCGATTGAACTTTAGAATATTTCACAACCGTTTCTAAAGGTTAACGTACTTGATGACGTGGTAAACAAAAATTTACACATGACATGCTTTCGACATTAGTATATACCATGTCACTAGAATCACATGGCAACATGAGCCGGGAAACATATATTAAGGAAAGTTCATTGAGAAATAGAAAACATCTGAAAAGATATGTGACAACTGTATTGTCATAAATTTCTAGCACTCGTGCAAATGGTTTTATAAATTTGATGACAATTTGAAATCTTCCTAAATTAAATCGAACCCTTTTTTTCTATAATCAAATTAATAATCAAACGTTTGATTAAGTTTCTCACAATATTGGCTTAATACGTAATAGAATTTGTAACTGTAGCCTACAAGAAAATTGAGTCTATTCACACAAAATTTCTATGGAATTTAAAGAAAAGGATTTATTGAAAGTTATATCTTAGGGATTCTTTCTATGGCAACTTTGAAATTTCTTTAATTTTTCAATGAACTGGGGAGTTAATACCCTCGAAAAAGGGTCAGTATCAGCACTTGAAATGCAGTGACCTTCCTACTTTAAACTTGTTAATGGGTCTCGATATGTTTGAAGTTGGGTATCAATTCTTGTAGTATAGAGGGCAAATTTGATTTAATTCGTCAATCAAGCAATGGTTATTTCTCTTTGATTATAAATACCCGAACTATTGAAGTTTACCCACGTTAATGGTTGCACGTTAAGAATTGACATTTCGCCTTTTATAATCTTATGCTTGTATGCTGTATCAATATGGTGTTGCTAAATTTGTAAATTAAGATTGGATTAATAGTAAACATGAGCAGATGCTAAGCCATCAACAATTATATACGGGAGAAGATTATTTCAAACCCCGTCTTTTCATTCATTGATAAGCAAGTATCTGAACATTTTTTTTGAAGTTATATTTTTAAATTCTAATTCTCATATAAATTTCACAATTAGACTTGGGAGGACTATCTTGGATGGTTAAAAATAACCACCCCAACAAAATTTTCAAATAACATAAGTCCATACATTACATCAATGATCATACATAGACTTGGGAAACTATTGTTATGCCTCATATCCGAAGCTCTCAGTGGAGACCACGTCAAAGTCACGTCGAGGCACTGAAGAAAGGGAACAAGCTGCTTTTTGGCCGAAGCACTGTCTTCATCCGTAGTTCTTTGGTGAAGCACTCTCTCTCTCTCTTTGTCAAGGCACTTTCTCTTTTGGCTGAAGGTCTGCACATCCGAAGCTCTCCCTAAAATTGAGACGCTTGTTGCCTTTAATGCAGATCTGAAGAGTAATTGATATAAGGTTTGCATTAATAAGTGTCAGAAACGTCAGCCTAGAGTTTAGGGTGGCTGACCCCCTACCAATATAATTAATGGATGATAGAATGTGATGGGAGGCTCCGTTTGATTGGATGAGGCTACGTGGTTCTGATCTAACGACGACCCCGTTGGCCTTAACCCTATAAATAGCAACACTTGAAACTTGTTAAAGGATGGAAAAAGATATATAATAACTTCATATACTTGAAATTAGAATTCTCTTTTGCTCATCTCTTGGTGATTGAGTTTGGATTCATTTTATTTTGAGAGTTATTAGTGATTGATATTTGATTATACAATTACCCTAGATCATATTGTCGATACCTGAACATTTTTGTCTCGTGTTATAGAGAATCTTCCACATCCATTATCAACATGATTTTACAATTGTAATTTTGATCAAAACGTGCCGAAATTTGCTCTCATGTACACGAGTGGGCTCGATATCTATTGTCTGCGTGGCCATTATAGAAAATGGGATCAATAGTTTCACAAGATTAGAGAGTTGATTATTTCAAGGGACACAATTTAACTTGAATCATGAACAACTAGATTTAAGATCGCTTTTTGAAATGTATATTTAGAGGAATTGTTTACATGAATTTTTTTTTTAAATCATTTTATGTACCAAAATAGGAACCAAGTCATCTGAGTAAGAAATTTGGTATTTTTGTATTAGGAATAAGTTTTAAAAAATACGTAATTTTTTGGTCTCCATTATTTTCAAAATACATTTTTCTTTCTCTTATTTTTAATCATACATTTTCAATAAAATAATAGTATACGCAAATCCAAAACTTTTTCTTTTTTTTAACCATATATTCTCATTCAAAATACTATTTCAAAATGCATTTTGACAAAAAATAGGGCTTAAACAAGCTCGTAAGTTAGATATCTTCTTATATTATAGGAAATAAAGATGTTGAAATTTTCTTTAACTTCTATACGTAGATAACATGCTCATAGCCAGTCATAAAAGAGTAAAAAAATTAGATTGGTTAAAGACTTAGGAATGGACATAAAAAGAAATAGAATTTAAAATATTTTATGAAATTCTAGAAAAAATTGCAATGAATGAAGCTAATTCAGTAACTCTTCGCCTTAGGAAATTACTTTAAGTTAATATGTGATCTGTGTCTTTCTAGAGCTGAAGAACTAAAAAGAATGTGTACTGTGTCTTATACAAGTGTTTTAGCAATATAATTTATGGTGTGGTCTTCATAAGACCTTGTTTGGCTCATGTTGTTAGTGTCTTGAGTAGATTTATCTTCAATCTAGGTAAGGACATTGGATTGCTATGAAGTGGCTACTAAAGTACTTAAGGATCATGATGTGCGTTTGATGCATAAACAAAGTGTAAAGCTTGAAAGGTTTGTTGATTTAAACTTCGCTGAGGATATGGAAATTAGGAAGCTACATATTATGGCTTTAACCATTGTAACTCTAGTATCTGCTTGATATCCTAGCTACAAAAAATTGTAATGGTATCCTCCACTGAGGCAAAGTTTATTGTAGCCACTAAAGCTCTAAAAGAAGGTTTATGGTTATGATGTTTGCTTTATGAACTTTGTTACTTGAGGAGGATGTTGTGTTGTATTATGATAGCCAAAGTTCTATTTTTTAAGTAAACTCTAGTTTATCACGGCACAACAAAGCATATAGATGTTAAGTTTCATATCATAAGAGATATAATCTCTATAAGTTTGATTAAACTAGAATTTATCGTCACAAAATTCAACCTGCATATATGCATATTAAGGTGTAACCACTTGGAAAGTTTAGAAATTGCAGAACTTCACTTTACATTTGTTCTGATGGATTTGTACAGGTAAAGAACATATATGAAACAATGAGAGATATAACACTTAGACATTGGTGTTTACATTAAGGTGGAGGTTGTTGGGGCTAAATGTGAACCCAAGAAAGATTGAGGATCAATTATGTAAATTTGGATGTTACCATCAGTCACTACTAAAAACCAGCTTTTTATCTACTAAAAATTACCAACGGATGCACGTTGCTGATTATTGTATTATCCGTTGGTACAAATTATTCACTTTCAGCTACAATAAGGAGCAACGAATTTTTCGTTGCTAACGATGATATCTCTTTACCAACGGATATTCCATGCCTCATATAACCGTTTAGCATTTGGATCTTTCCCGCAGGTGACATACCAAATACATCCATTGGTAATTAGAAATGAATTATTCGTTGGTAAAAGTAATTCACTCTCAACTACGATAATCATCAACGAATTTTCTATTGATAACGATGATATCTCTTTACCAATGGATATTCCGTACCTCATGTAATCGTTTAACATTTGGATCTTTCATCTACGAATATTCCGTTGGTAATTAGAAACGGATTATCCGTTGGTAAAAATAATTCACTTATCCCACATCGAAAGTTCACAACAACGCCTTTAGAGTTGTCCTCTATAAATTAATTTGTAGTCCAATAAGTGGTTAAACAATATTTTGGACTTTCATTTCTGTTGGCTAAAAGTTAAAAAATTTAGAATTATTAAATAAATAATAATAACAATAATAAAAAAATAAATAATTTTTTTTACCATGCCTCATACCTATGCGGCTATTTACAATATTGATTTTTACTAATTATAATGGTGAATATTTATCAACGAAAAGTCGGTTGTTATTAGTGAAGCTTTTTACGGACGAAAATTTCGTTGGTAAAAGATTCACACTTTACCAACGAAAAATTCGTTAGTAAAATATTTAGTCTTTACCTATGGCATGATCCGTCGGTAAGTATCAACGACCCTCAAATTAACAACGGATTTGCGGCTGCAAATATTCCGTTGGAAAAGAGTAATAGCAATGGATATCAAGGTTTCAGAAATGGAAAATCCGTAGCTGAACCCATGTTTTTTTAGTAGTGAGTCATATAAGGGAGACTGAGATTATACAAAGAACATCGTTCAAGAGGGCTGACACGTGAAATTGTGATGATCGTCTCATGAAGGTACCTATATTGTTTCTTATATCACTTATTCCAGGTTAGTTGCTTAGATGCTCTTTCACGTTCATTTTATCATCTTCCTCTCTCAGAATCACTCACTCTCCCATTTTTTAATTTGTCTCCATTCAAATTGAGGGTTAGGCTATGCAATAAGGTTTCTAAACTAACTTGGTGTTGTTTCGTGTTGAGTGAGAGTCTTTAGCGTATACTGCGAGATTGTGATATTCTTCTTTTTGCTGGTGAAACCAATGGGTTTGTTGAAGTAGAATTGAAGTCCGGGTCTTGATTATAATAATTTTATGTTAGTGTTTAGCATTATCCACTTGTGAACACCGATAAGTGTGTTTTACACACTTATTTAGGCTACAAAATATGAGTAATTGTTTTTAATTATTTGGAATATGGTTTAATACTATATAAATTATGTTTCACGGGACAACATTGATAAATATGGTGAAATTGAGGAGAAACAAATGAAAATGAACAAAATGAAATAAAGCCAAAGTTTAGGGACCAGAGTGCAAATAGTTAAAAGATGACCTAAAGCAGAAACACAGATATGAAAGAGTCAATGACAAATTTAGCAAATATATGAAGTATTGGAAGAAGAAGAAATGAGACAAGAGGTCAACGAACAAGAAAATGGAGTTCGGGGACTAAAATGCAACTTTTAAAATCTTATCAACACTATGCGGTCGCATTATAGGTTTTTCCATGTGGTTGCATGGTGATTTTCAGCAAGTTTCAAGGTCCAATTCCATTGAGCTATACTATAGCATTATTTGTAGGAAAATTTTGGTTTCTTTATTTGATTAAAATTCTTATCGAAACAAATCTTGGGACGTCTTTTAAAACCCTACGGTCATCCCTAAGTATTCATTACACATTCCAATAAATTCATAAGCTTGTTCGAGTATAGAAGGAGGCAAGAACAAGAAGATCAACCCCGAGATACGAAGATTCAATTCAAGATTTAAATTGGTGATGTTGTTTCTTCAATATTTTTGTTGTTTTCTTTTTCCTAACATACTAGGCTAGATTTATTTGTGCTAGGAGAAAGATGAACCATGTGATATGAATTTTTAATCTTCAATAGGCTCAACATGGTATAAATTGTAATAGGGTCCGATAGAGAATAGCGATATATCGCTATGGCTTATTTGAATCTTCAAGTGCTCAAAAAAATTTATGCATTCTTGTATGTTGGTATCTATCGTAGAAATATATATGAGAATTTGTTTAACATTGCTCGCGAGATTGTTGAATAAAAATAGAATCATTGATTCTGCAAAATTTAATTGTGTTGTCAAAGTATAAAACTAAGATTAAAAAGGATTATTGTATGGGAATTCGAGTTCTTACTGCATTTGTCATTCATTTAAACACATCAACTTTAGTTATAATTTCATTACAATAACCACATCTTAACATTTTTTGTCGATTAAGGTCACAATAATTAAAACCAAACTAAATCAATCTTTGTGGGACGATATTTAGACTTAAAATCTACTTTGTTACTTGTTAACGAACCTTACACTTATGATGGTTTTAGATCGATAGATATTTTTGAGAACAAGTTTTTGGGGCCGTTGTCGAGGATTGAGTTTTAATTTGATTTTATTTATCTTCGCACTAATTTGGACTTCTACATGTATTCTTGTATTGTTATTTCGTTCCATTTAATTTTTTTTTTTTCATTTTCCAGGATATGTAAAAGAACACAAATAGCAAGATAAAAGATGCTTGTGGTTGATTTTAAGAAGATGCTCGTATGTAACTTCATCATAAAGCAACAACAATTGGCAACTCAAGAAATTGATGAGGAGGATATGCTTATGGGAGATTTCATTATAGGACAACGACTACGAGATTTAATGTCAATTGGATTTCTTACAGATACAATAAGAGGAGAAGACC